TCTCTTCTCTTCTCTTCTCTTCTCTTCTCTTCTCTTCTCTTCTCTTCTCTTCTCTTCTCTTCCCTCCTCTTCTCTTCTCTTCTCTTCTCTTCTCCTCTTCTCTTCTCTTCTCCTCTCCTCTTCTTCCTTCCTTCCTTCCTTCCTTCCTTCCTTCCTTCCTTCCTTCCTTCTCTCTTTCTTTCTGATTTGTCCTTTATTTTCCCACTGCAAATACTCATTTTATATTTTGCTGCCCTTTGTTGTTTTTCTTTTTTCTGAAAAGGCTCCCAAATCATGTAAGTTTCAAGTAGCCCAAACTCTAGATTTGACTAGCTTGATGACCTCGAATACATTTATAATGTGCATGCCTCGTTTTCCTCACCTCTACTTTTTTATTAGGTTTACTTTATTTATTTATTTGCAGTGCTGATGATCAAACCCAGGGCTTCCTGCATGGTAGGCAAGAACTCTAATACTGAGCTCCACTCCCAGCCCATTTTCTCATTTTATTTTTTTATTTTTTATTTTAAAGAATAAAGGAAGGACAACAAAGCAGCAGGGGGATACACCGAATTACAGACAAAGTGGTAGGACATTATCAATGGTTGTTATTTTACCTATTGGTATCTTCAAGATAATATCTCAGGGAAACAAATAGACAAATAATAGTGAGTTACAGACAGAAATGGCAGGAAATTATCAATGGTTGTTGTATTATACCCTGGTTTCTCCAAACTGGTCTCTAGGGAAAACAAATAGAGCTATATATCAGTAATCAATCAAATAATCATTGACTGTTCTCAAAGGTTGTTATTGCAAACACATAGTAACAAACATACATGCATTTACGAAGTAGCATAGGAGCAATACAAACATTACAGAGTTATGGACAGATTAGTAGGAAATCATCAGTGGCTGCTGCAATACATGTTGGCATCCTCAAACTGGTTTCTCAGGAAAACAAAGATATGCAAGAAAAATCCAACAAGCAGTTACAGTCCAAGGGTTGCAAAAAATAGCAGGTTACCTCATCAGTGACTCCCCTCACTGAGGTGTGACAGCTGGAAGGAAGGCCAGGGCTGGAAAGAAGGACGGAGAGACCAGCACCAGTGTCCAGCAAAGGGCCGTCCGCTCTTTCCTCTATACTCATGATTCCACGGGACTCCTCCTTCTCCATGAAGGCGGTTCTTTAGAATCTGAATATTGGGCCCCCGTGTAATCCATGAAATCTCAGTGCAGACCTCTCCGGACCTCCACGCGCTCCTCCACCGCAGCCTGTACAGTCAGGGGGAGAATGGCCTCCAGGGAGGTCTCCCCAGGTACTGTGCAAGGTCCTCCTGGTTTCCAGCTCCTGAATGGCTCCCGCGTCCCCAGTCAGCTCTACCTCTGAGTCATCGGGCATCAGTACCCTCGCGTTCTCCGAGTCCTCATTCTTTAGTTGTTCCTCTGCTGACTCCGGGCCTTTCTGGCTCTCAAGGGCAGGGCCAAGAGCGACCCGCCGTGTGCCATGTTTTCCCAGAGGTTTCTCCGTGCAGGGATGGTTCACGCACGTCTCCGGGCGGGCCTATTGTGTCGGTGCTTCTCTGTGGCATGGCGCGCCATTTCCTCATTTGAAAAATGTGCATAATAGTAGTACCTATTTGCAAGCTTGTTGTAAAGATGAATCTATTTTGCTAATAATGTACAAAACACTGGGATAATGCCCAGTAGATAGTAAGTACTCATTTAATGATAATGATTACTTTCCATTTGTTTGTTAGTTTGATGGGTGGTCAGTACGGGGGTTTGAACCCAGCGTCTTTGCACGGACCCATACACACCCACACCTGCTCATTTTAAATTTTGAGATACAGTCTTCCTATCACCAAGGCCCCATCCAACTCCTTAACTTTTGAGCCTTACTAAGTTGCTAAATTGTCCAGGTTGTGCTTGAGCTTGAGATCCTTCTGCCTCAACCTCCCAGAATACAGGGTTTATTGGAGCATACAACCACTCCCAGCTTGGTAACAATTAATATTAGTGTTAGTTCCACAAATATTAAAGAATAGGAGAGTAAAAGAATTGCGCTACGATATCATCTTAGTAATTTTGGGCATGCATAGTATTTACTAAGAAACATTCTTTTGCTGTAGAACCAAAGAATTCATGTGCGGTTTTGTTTTGTTTTTTTATCTATTTAATTTATAATGTTTTTGTGTATGTAACACTTCCCACTAGGCATTCTGACCGCATGCATCAGATACACAGAAAAAATGGGACATTACGGTTTGATTTAGGGAGGGAGAACTTGCCCCCTCCGGTTTCCGGGGCGCCCTGCGCCGAAGTAGGGGGGTCCTCACCTGGCAGGGGCCCGTACGCCACGCCCCGCTCCTGTCCTCCGCAGCACTGGGCGTCGGCGCTCACCACCCGCCCGCCGCAGCACTGCCGCCCGTGGCCGTCGTGCAGGGTCCCCGCGCAGCAGATCTGGGGTCCCGCCGAGGAATAGGGCATCCTGCCACAGCACGCGTCGCCGAGCCCCACAGAAACCCGGTTGTGCGGCTCATCGGGACAGCAGACTTCACCTGTCGGGTTGGGACAACAACAGTTATCGCCGGAGTGGAAGAAAACGCCGGGACCCTCCGCTGAGCCTGACAGCAGTCATTACTCCGAGAACAACGCGTGGGCTGAGTTACTAGCGAGAATGTGGTCATACTGGAGTTGCACAATCTCAATACAATTCCTTAATTTTTGTGTTAGGGATGCATAAACCCGTGGGTCTGCTCACAGCCTATGCGCTAGATCATAGGTAAGACTATGCTGAGTGTTCACCGTCCTTCCAAAAAAGAGGCATGTTAGGTCTAGGGACATGGCTTTTGTCAGAAAAAGCATGTCTTGGGAAACTTTTCTGTTTAATGTAAACTTGCTTTCTGAAAGTGGGGTGGATTAAGAAATTAACTTACAGATAAATTTATACTGCACATGACTTTAATTTTCTTAACCAAACTATATTCATTTAACCAAACAAAAAACCTCCAGTGGGAGAGTGAATTGTGAGGGTAAGAACACCCGTCCGGTCAACACACACATACTGTGCTGAGCGGGGGCAGATCCTGAATTTCACGCACCCAGCTTTGCCTGCGTGCCCCTCGAAGTGATATTCTATACTGCTCAGGGTAGGAAGAAGACAATCTCTGGCCTTAAGATTAAAAGATGCAAATATTCTAAATATCAGTAGTCAATTGGAAATGGAGAGGTCTGTAAAAGATAGGAATATTCTAAAATAGAAAAATTTAAAAATTGTTTCCCTTAACAATACCTTAGAATGAACTGATCAAAAATAGACAGTCCACTGTACATACAAACCTACCAGGGCTGAGTTATAAGGTATAAAACGGTGTTTTGAAATGTATAGCTATAGCAAGACTGAGTGAATTACAAAAACTTCCCAGCCAAGAAAGGCTCTCGTCCAGTATGCAGAAACCCTTCGAGGGGCAAAGATCTTGGATAAACGCTTTCAAAGATGATAGAAGAGGACCAATGAGCACGTGGAAACATGCTCAGTCTCTACTCATTAGGGAATCACAAATCAAAACCAAGTGAGACATCACTGCTACCCATTAGGATGGCCCCTACCCAAAACAGAGCCACAACAACAGCAAAACAGAAATTAAACGCCAGCAAGGTGTGAAGTCGGAACACTTGGCGATTGCTGTTGAAAATGGACAATGGTGCGGCTACTGTTGAGAGCAGTACAGAAGTTCCTCAAAATTCTTAAGCACAGAAATGCCATATGAAGCAGCCATTCTGGTTCTGGGCACATAGAAAAGAAGAACTGGTTACGTAACCAAATGAACTGAAAGTACTTTGGACAGATATTTGTACACTCAGTGTTCATTGTGATTTTATGCACGGTAGTAAAAAAAAGTGAAAACAGTTTAAATACAGGTTGATGGATAAAGAGATAAACAAAATGTGGTATGTGCCTACAATGGAATATTATTTAAACCTAAAGAAGAATGAATTCCTGACATGAGCTACAACATGGATAAATCTTGAGAACATCCTAAGTTAAAGAAACCAATCACAAATGACTCTGGAATGCTCCCAGCTATGAGGTTCCTAGAGTGGGGAAATCAGCTAGAAGGAAGTGCAGTCGTGGTTACCTAGGGTCGAGGGTGGACAGGAATGGGGACTTAGCAGTCAGTGGGAACAGTTTCAGTGTGGGAAGATAAAGCATCCTTGGGATGGACAGGGGGTTAGTCATACACCAATATGAGTACATTCAATGCCACTGAGCTGATGCATTTAGAAACAGTTAAAATGGTACATTTTATGTTATATTATTTTCCCATCATAAAAGATCCAGGCTCATGAGAAAGAACATAAATACTGTAACTCCATGTCTGTTTTCCAAGACTACTTTCCTACCTCCCAGAAACACTTTGTCTCATGTGTAGTAAAGAAGATATCTCCATTTCCCAGAAAACAGATGATGGGACAACCAGTGGTCCCTCTCCCTAACCTGCAGCAGTATGCCACACATGCAGAAGACACTGTAGCTCAGAAAAGAAGAATTCAGACCAAACTGACAGCAATGAAAGAGGAGCACAAGACACTGCTGTGTCTCGTCTATAAAAGGGCAGTGGTTAATACTCTTATGACAGAGGGACCCGGGAAAGCACCTGCACTGCTTTAGCAAGAAAGATGGAATTGCAAAAGGAAAGAGACCAATTATGACTGAACAACTCTTCCCTGGGAGTGTAGCCATGAAGCCTCACCACTTCAGCCCTTGATGTACAAAGGAAATTGGAACACAGGGGCTCCTTCTTCATGAATGGGTGAATTCTATTGTGTCTGGAAAGGCTGGCTGTTTGTGGAAACAGGCTCCTGACAGAAAGGCTGACTTCAGTCAACTTTCCCACCACACTTCTCCCTTTTGAAATTTCCACAGCACGCAGGCTTGCTTCTGCCCTTTGCCACAGGATTATACAGGGTGAAGTCCCTTGCTGGATACCAGTCCAATTCTTTTGGACCGCCCAGCCTGAAGAGCCAAGAGCCGAATAAACAGCTATGGTTTAGAATTACCCCATCTCTGGTACCCTGTCAGAGCTGCCGGAAATGGATTAGTGCATTACATCATTGATACAGGGAGCGCCATATCTATCACAAACCCTACTAATTATTCATCATTCCATCCTAGGAATAAACAAAATGTCTCAGGGGTAGAAATTTCAACTATCTCTTTGATTCTGCATTTGCGTTTCTTTGGTCTCTCTCTTTTAAATCAACACACATTTTGGCTTGATGATTCCGCTCCCAGGCACCCACTGAGAGAAAATCCACTGCAGACACGTGACACAGAGTCATCCTCTGTGACTTCCAGGAGAAAAGGCCGCATGCTGCAGCTTGGTGATGGCGCTGACTGATTGCCCACCACCTGATGCCTCTTGGACCAACATCTGTCACCCAGAATCTGTTTCCAAGAGTCTTGATGGCAGAGGCACTTTACATGTGGGACTCATAGAACAAGCTAAGCTTCAGAGGGCTTCATCAATCTGGATATGCTCATTATTTTTTGTTTTAAAAACATTTTTAAAAAGCAGACTACAGATCAATCTCACTGGAATTTCACCAGTTCCTGTATGCATTCTTTTTACGGTGTCTTTAAATATAGTTCTATGATGTGTTATAGGTATACATTCATGTAACCTTCAGTACAACCAGGATACAGCATTGTTCTGCTACCACAGAGAAGCAGCACTGCTATAACATTTAAAAAGATGATATAAATCTATCATTTTTAGTACATGTTACTAGAACATAGCACCTGCATTCCTCGTGGGGAGTTGGTACCTGTACATAACACATCTTAATTCATTTTTTCACTCCCCATTCCTTCCCCTCTTTCTCTTCATCCCCTTCCCTTTTGAGGAATTTCTCCTTCTCCATTTCCTTTTATCTTTTATTTTGCTCTTTAGTTGTAATTTAGGACGCTTAGGTAAGAGAAACCATGTGCATTTAAGCTGTGTCTGATTTATTTCACTTAAGAGTATGGTCTCAAGGTACATCCATTTTCCCACAAATGACTCAAGTTTATCTTTCTTTACGGCAGAGTTGTACTCCATCGTGTATAAATACTACATTTTCTTTATTCATTCATCTGTCGATGGATATGTAGGCTGCTTTTGAGATTTAGCTATTATGAATTGTGCTGCTATAAACATGAATGTTTATGGATCACTGTAAAATGATGTCTTTAACTCTTTCAGAAAGATACTTAGAAGGGGATTAGCTAGGGGATTCCATTAACTATGGAATTTATAGTTTTAGTTTTTTGGAGAATCTCTTACACTGATTTCAATAGCTGTTGCTCTAGTTTACATGCCCAGCCATGGAGAAGGGTTCCTTTTGTCCCACAGTCTCACCAGCATTTGTTATTATTTGATGTTTTGACGATAGCCATTCTTTCTAAGATAAGGTGGGATCTCAATATTGTTTTATTTCATTTCTTTAATGGCCAGGAACATTGAGCATTTCTTCATGTATTTATTGGCTATTTGCATGTTATGGTTTGTGTCTGGGTGTCCCCCCAAAGCCTCATGCGGCCATGGGGTAGGCTTTTAGAGTTTGATTGATTATGGGTGTGAGAGCTACATCCGCCCTGGGGTGGATAGTTTGTATATGTAAGGGAGAGGAAAAGGGTGCTTGAGGCCATTCCACCCTCATTCCGCCCTGGTGTGTGCTTGTTGCTTTGCTGTGTTCTGCCGCCATGAGCTGCAGCCCTCTGCCATGTGCCACTCTGCCTTATAATCTTCCAAGTATGGACTAAAACCTCCACAAACTGTAAGCTAAATAAACTTTTCCTTCCTTAATTTTGGGCATCAGGTATTTTGTCCCAACAATGAGAGAAAAGTAACCAAGACATTGCACTTCTCAAAATGTCTACTCATTTCACTTGCTTAGTTTTTGATTGGGTCTTTTATTTTGGGGGGTCTAATTTTTGGAGTTATTTATATATTCTAGACATTGGTCCTCTGCGTGAGGAATATCTAGAAACATTTTTCCTATTCTATGGGCTGTCTCTTTACCCCTGTTGGTTGTTGCTTTTGCTGTGCAGCTTTTTAATTCAATATGATTCAATGTGTTGATTCTCAGTACTAATTCCTATGCAACTAGGTCCCGTTCAGAAAGTCTTTGTCTATGCCTATGACTTCAGGAGTTTTATCTATTTTATATTCCAGCAAGTTAAGTGTTTAGGTTTTAAAATTTAGTTCTTTCTTCCATTTTGATTTTAGCTTTGTACCTGGTGAGACACATGGGTCTAGACTTGGTCTTCTGCATGTGGATAGCCAGTAGTTTTCCCAGCACCTGTTATTGTAAAGGCTATCCTTCTTCCAGTATTTCCGGACCCTTTGTCAAGGATCAAATAGTTAAACGTGCTTGGGGTTGTTTCTGCATCCTCTATTCTGTTCCGTTGACCCTCATGACAGTTTTTGTATTCTGACTATGCTCTTCTTAAAATTAGCCCAAAATCTACTTTAAAGAAAGAGGCTGTTAAACAACTGTGATCGATGGTATTCAC